AGAGCAGACAGAACCCAAACAGCCCAACCAACCCAAACCCAGAACCTGACTAGTCACCCCGTATTTTGGGAGTTTCAGACAAACTGAGCCTTTATTTTCAAGAAATGTTCTCCTTCTGAGAGTTGTAACCTGCTCTTCAGATAAAGCAGCCTGTTGATCCTTCACTAGTCACTGATTTACCTTCACACTGAGATTTGCACAGTAATATTATTAAAATAAACTAATCTATTTGTGTCAGGATGCAGAAGGCAGCACTGTGCTGCTTTCTGCCTTCTCTGCTCTCTCAACAGGTGACCTGAGTTGGTTGGTAGGCGTGGTACACACCTGCAGCTCGTTCGGCTGTGTGTGGCTGTACTATAAGAACACCATCCTGACAGCTGGAGAACGCCAGAGTGTAAACCTGTTTGGTATACTTAGAGTCCCCTGTCTAGTGACAGCTTACTTTTTCGCAGCATTAAATCCTTGTCTCCTGTGTCTCCAAGGTCGTCTTTTGGATTCCTCTTCTGTGTCATCCTGTGATCTCAAAACCCTAGTCAGGCTCCTTGGCTCTCTGCCCACTTGGTGTTACCAAGCCGGGCAAAGAGACCGCTCTGGAGGCTCTGGTTCCTCAAGCTTCCACCGGACCACCACCACTCTGGCGCTGTTTGAATCCCCTCATCTCGGACTCCTCCTTCCCACCCACCTGCCGCTCGGTCATCTGATACCATCTCTGAGCACCTTTCCCCCACTCCTTTTTCCCGGTTCGGTCACAGTGCTCGGCGACCGCTCGAGCCGATCTCCGCATTCATTCCTCTGTGATTTGTCCTGAGGGTTATATTCTCCCTTACATCTGTCAAGCCGATTTCCCAATAAACATCTTAAATCTGCTCTGCTTATCTTGAGTGTAATCTGCATGTTGTTTAGACACCTCAGAACCATGACACAATTACACTCTGGCCAAGCAGACCCAGCTGACGCTTTCAAGAGAATGCTCTCCGCTCACCAGGAGCAGCTGCAGATCCTTGAGTTGGCGATGCAAACTACCCAGAGTGAGCTATAGGACCTCGCAGCTCAGATCAGTCAACTGGCTGACGTGCTGCGACCCACCGTGCTTAACCCCTCCTCTGCGTCACCCAGCGTAACCCCTGGGCCCGCGCCCCCTGAACCATCCAAACCTGTCAGCTAGTCCTCCGCTCCCAGCCTGGAGAAGTTATATGGGGACAGTGGGGATTGTGGAGGTTTCTTATTTCAGTGCTCCCTGGTTTTTAATCAGTTTCCCCGTGAGTTTTCTCAAGATCAGGCTAAGATCTCGTTCATCCTGCACTTGTTAACGGGAAAGGCCCTCAGAGGGGCGGAGGCCTGTTTCCCTGGTTGTCAGCAATTTGGTTGTTCTTTAATGAGTTTGTGCAGGAATTTAAAATGGTTTTTGCTACCGAGTTGGACCCGGTCCAACAGTCCATTATTGGTGATCAAGCAGAGGGGTCGCCGCGTTTCAGACTTTGCGGTCCAGTTTCGCAATCTAGCAGCCACCGCTGGCTGGGAACTAAAGGCCTAAAGGAACCTGACACAATAAGTGAGTTAATTAATCTAGCAATTTGTCTAGAAAACCGTCTTAGGAGTAGGAACCGCGATAGGATGGAGAGACCACTGCGCCCGGCGGCCTCTCTCATCCCCGAGTGAGTCCCTTCCAGAACAGCTGCTGCTACACCCCTGTCCACGGAGCCTATGCAGATAGGCCGGGTATGTCTTTCCCAAGGGGAAAGGCAGCAACGCATAGATGCCAAACAATGCATTTATTGCGCCCCGCCTGATCATTTCATCCGAGCCTGCCCAGCGCGGTTAAAAGGGGAGGTCCATCGGCTGTATTGGGAGAGTTGGCGGACCCAGTCAAACTCATGTTTTTCCTTGTCCTCCAGTGTCCCCGCATCTCTGTCTTTGAGTGATTATTCCGATGGCTCATGACAGCGTCAGCCACTCAGCTTTAGTAGACTCAGGGTGCGATTTTAATTTAGTAGAGCAGTCCCTGGTCCAGCAAATCGGGATTGAGACTCTGCTGTTAATCACGCCCCTGCAAGTTTCTGCCATGGATGGACGGAACCTTCTCCGGATAACACATCAAACGGACAAAAAGTCCATAGAGAATGTTGTTACATGCAACCATTGCGAATGGATCCCGTTTTTCATTTTTTCAGTGAAACATGCCCCCCTAGTCCTCGGTTACTCGTGGTGAAAGAAACACAACCCAAATATCAATTGGGCTGAGCATCAGGTCGAATCCTGGTCGTCTGCTTGTCACTCGCACTGTTTGCTTCCCGCGGTCCCCACCCATCCACCGTTACAGGGGGCTGCGACGAATTAATCCCAGGTGGATCTTAGTCTAATACCCGGGCAGTATCACAATCTTCGTCTCCTGTTTAGCAAAACCAAGGCCGCGTCTTTACCCCCACATCGGCCATATGATTGCACAATCCACCTGCTGTCCGGCGCTGTGCTCCCCACTAGCCTCCTGTATAACATATCACGGGTTGAGATATTGACATATTAGCAAGTCTCTAGCTGCCGGCTTGATTCCCCCTTCCCCCGTTCCTTTAGGAGCTGGATTGTTTTTTTCGTATGGAAGAAGGACGGATCTCTACACCCCTGTGTCGATTATCATGGCCTAAATCAAATCACCGTTAAGAATAAATACCCACTGCCGCTCCTCTCCTCTGCACTGGACGAACCGCATCCTGGCAGCAGACCCCCCGACTGAACTTATGTGCCCCACGCAGTATGCTCCCAGATCATTAGCTGGGCTCCCTTCTAGGAAGAATCATCCTAGAAAGCATCCTAACCAACTGTGTAACAGTTTGGTATGGAAGCTGTTCTGTTGCGGAGCGCAAGGCTCTGCAGCAAGTTGTGAATGCCTCCCAGCACATCACTGGAACTTCACTACCCACCATTGAGCACATCCAGAAGAAACGCTGCCTAGATCGAGCCCACAGCATTCTTAAGGACTCATCCCACCCAGCCCACAGACTGTTTCTCTCCTACCCTCCGGCAGGCATTTCAGGTGCCTCCGGACCAGAAGCAGCAGACTAAAGAACAGCTTTGTCCCTAGAGGTGTCTCTACTGAACTCTAACCCTCATGGATAGACTCTACTCTCCTTTCTCACACCTACCACCATTTTGCTATTCTGTTTTTTTACAAGACTGTAATGTTCATCTGCACTCTTGAGTGTTACTATTGCAACAACTGTTTACATGCATCTTGCACTACTCACCTTCACTGAATATTGATTTGCACTGCCGACTGTTTATTCACAGTTCCGATTGTTTACATATACATTTGCAATAACGTACTTTAACTGTAATATGCAATTACCTTCCACTGCACTTTAATTTAGATAGCTTCTGTCCAAACATTATTTATTCATTTTAGTGTAAAACCCATCTGTATATTATGCTTTTGTACATAACTGTAAAAACCCTTTTTATAGTAACATCCACCTGTATGTACACTACCATTCAAAAGTTTGTGGTCAACCAAACAATTTTGTGTTTTCCTGAATAGTCACACTTATTCACAACCATACATTGTGAAATGAATAGAAAATAGAGTCAAGACATTGACAAGGTTAGAAATAATGATTTGTATTTCAAATAAGTTTTTTTTTTTTACATCAAACTTTGCTTTCGTCAAAGAATCCTCCATTTGCAGCATACAGCATTGCAGACCTTTGGCATTCTAGCTGTTAATTTGTTGAGGTAATCTGGAGAAATTGCACCACACACTTCCAGAAGCAGTTCACACAAGTTGGATTAGTTGGATGGGCACTTCTTGCATACCATACGGTCAAGCTGATCCCACAACAGCTCAATGGGGTTCAGATCTGGTGAATGCACTGGCCATTCCATTATCGAATACCAGCTGCCTGCTTCTGCTCTAAATAGGTCTTTCACAATTTGGAGGTGTGTTTAGGGTTATTGTCCTCTTGTAGGATGAAATTGTCACCAATCAAGCGCTGTCCACTGGGTATGGCATGGCGTTGCATAATAGAGTGATAGCTTTCCTTATTCAGAATCTCCTTTACCCTGTACAAATCTCGCACCTTACCAGCACCAAATCAACCCAAGACCATCACATTACCTCCACCATGCTTAACAGATGGCATAAGGCATTCTTCCAGCAACTTTTCATTTGTTCTGCATCTCACAAACATTCGTTCTTCTTTGTGATCCAAACACCTCCAACTTGGATTCATCCATCCACAACACTTTTTTCCAGTCTTCCTGTGTCCAATGTGTGTATTCTTTTGCCCATCTTAATCTTTTTCTTTTATTGGCCAGTCTCAGATATGGCTTTTTCTTTGCCACTCTGCCCTGAAGCCCAAAATCACTATTGATGTTGACACTGGTGTTTCGCGGGTACTATTTAATGAAGATGCCAGTTGGGGACCTGTGAGGCATCCGTTTCTCAAACTAGAGACTTTAATGTACTTATCTTCTTGCTCAGTTGTGCAATGCGGCCTCCCACTTCTTTTTCTACCCTGGTTAGAGCCTGTTTGTGCTGTCCTCTGAAGGGAGTAGTAACATCGCTGAAGGAAATCTTCTATTTCTTAGCAATTTCTCGCATGGAATAGCCTTCATTTCTAAGAACAAGAATACACTGTCGAGTTTCAGAGGAAAGTTCTCTTTTTCTCGCCCTTTTGAGCATTTAATTAACCCCACAAATGTGATGCTCCAGAAACTCAATCTGCTCAAAGGTAGGTCAGTTTTGTAGCTTCTGTAATGAGCTGAACTGTTTTCAGATATGTGAACATGATTGCACAAAGGTTTTCTAATCATCAATTAGCCTTCTGAGCCAATGAGCAAACACATTGTACCATTAGAACACTGGAGTGATAGTTGCTGTAAATGGGCCTCTACACACCTATGTAGATATTGCACCAAAAACCAGACATTTGCAGCTAGAATAGTCATTTACCACATTAGAAATGTATAGAGTGTATTTCTTTAAAGTTAAGACTAATTTAAAGTACCTTGAGGAAGCTGGGCCTGGGGACTGTGGGCTGGGCTATCCAATCTCTGTGGGCGAGGTCGCTGAGGTGGTAAAAAAAGCTCCTCGGTGGCAGGGCCCCGGGGGTGGATGTGATCCACCCGGAGTTCCTCAAGGTCCTGGATGTTGTAGTCTACATGTGCTTTGTGGACTTGGAGAAGGCATTCGACCGTGTCCCTCGGGGGGCTCTGTGGGGGGTTCTCCAGGAGTATGGGGTGCCGGGCCCTTTGATACGGGCTGTCCGGTCCCTGCATGACCGGTGTCAGAGTCTGGTCCGCATTGCCCAGTAAGTCAGGCTCGTTTCCGGTGAGAATTGGACTCCACCAGGGCTGCCCTTTGTTACCAATTTTGTTCATTACCTTCATGGACAGAATTTCTAGGTGCAGCCAAGGTGTTGAGGGGATCCGTTTTGGTGGCCTTAGGATTGCGTCTCTGCTTTTTGCAGATGAAGTTGTCCTATTGGCTTCTTCAGGTCGTGATCTGCAGCTCTCGCTGGATCGGTTTGCAGCCGAGTGTGAAGCGGCCGGGATGGGGATGAGTGCCTCCAAATCCGAGGCCATGGTCTTGAGCCGGAAAAGGGTAGAGTGCCTTCTCCGGGTTCGGGGGGTGTCCTGCCCCAAGTGGAGGAGTTTAAGTATCTCGGGATCTTGTTCACGAATGAGGGAAGAAGGGAGCGGGAGATGGACAGGCGGATTGGCGCAGCGTCTGCCGTGAAGCCGGCGCAGTACAGGTCTGTCGTGGTGAAGAGAGAGCTGATTCAAAAAGCGAAGCTCTCGATTTACCGGTCGATCTACGTTCCTACCCTCATCTATGGTCATGAACTCTGGGTCATGACCGAAAGAACGAGATCGCGGATACAAGCAGCCAAAATGGGTTTCCTCTGTAGGGTGGCTGGGCTCTCCCTTAGAGATAGGGTAAGAAGCTCGGTAATCCAGGAGGGACTAGGAGTAGAGCCGCTGCTCCTCCACGTCGAGAGGAGCCAGTTAAGGTGGCTCGGGCATCTGGTTAGGATGCCTCCTGGACACCTCCCTGGTGAGGTGTTCCGGGCACGTCCCACCGGGGGGAGGCCCCGGGGAAGACCCAGGACACGCTGGAGAGACTATGTTTCTCGGCTGGCCTGGGAACGCCTTGGGGTTCCTCCTGAAGAGCTAGAAGAAGTGGCTGGGGAGAGGGAAGTCTGGGCCTCCCTTCTTAAGCTGCTGCCCCCGCGACCCGACCCCGGATAAGCGGAGGAAGATGGATGGATGGATGGATGGATGGATGGATGGATGGACTAGTTTAAGGTTATCTTCATTGAAAAGTACAGTGCTTCAAAAATAAGGACATTTGAATGTGACCCAAAACTTTTGAACGGTAGTGTATATTCGATACATGTCCAGTTGTAAATTTAGTTCATAACACTAGTTATCTATATATTATATGCATCTATTAGTAAGATTCTGTTTATAATGGTATTCATCTCTGTACTTATTCAGTAGAAACCCATGTCCTGTATTTATGGAACCATTATTTATCCTGCACTTGCTGCTATTGCACTTCTGGTTAGACCTAAACTGCATTTTGTTGCCTTGCACCTGTACCTGTGTAATGACAATAACGTTGAATCTAATCTAATCTAATCACTCTGGCCCTTCATTATCGAGTCAATCATCAGCCCAATGGCCATCCGCCTCCGTCTTCCTCCACACTCCCGAGACCACCCAACGTTTCACATCTCCCAAATTAAACCCCTGCTTTCCAGAACACCATCCTGACAGCTGGAGGACACCAGATTGTAAACTTGTTTGATAAGGTTAGAGGCCCGTGTCTAGCAACAGCTTACTTTTTCCCAGCATTAAATCCTTTTCTCCTGTGTCTTCCTGGTCGTCTCAACTTCTGGATTCCTCTTCTGTGTCCTCCTGGGATCTAACGACCCTAGGGTCCTCGGTTCTGAAATTTCTGGACCCGACCTCTCATGCCAACTTGGTGGTACCAAGCCGGGCAGAGAGACCACACTCGACCCTCTGGTTCTTCCATCTTCCGCCACTACCGCTCTGGAGCCGTTTGGATCCCCTCATCTCAGACTCCTCCTGCCAACCCAGCGGCCGACCGGTCACCTGTTACCATACCTGAGCACCTTTCCTCCACACACCCCCACCCCCCACACCCCTGGATGCCGATCTCTGCATCTATTGCTTTGCGCTTCGTCCTAAGGGTTAACTTCTCTGTTACATCTGTAAAGCCGATTTCCCAAAAAACATCTTAAATATGCTCTGCAACACAGAACCATGACCATTTGTATAAATCTTACATCAATATCTGTAGTTTGCAGTCGGGAGACTGGAGAAACCCACTGAGCTCCTCCATTTGAGGGTCCAGCTTCGTTCCGTTCAGATCCAGTTCAGTCAGATGGGATGGATTAGACTTCAGAGCTGAGCCCAAAGAAGCCCAGCTGATCTCTGACAAATGGCAGTCCCACAATCTGAATAAAGAATAAAAGATTTTAGCTGAAATCAACAGTATGAAAATGAAAACTTAACTCCATTAAAACTTTCCGGCAAAATATATGACCCTGTCACGTGATAAACAGCTGCCTTCGAAGCTAGAATAAATAAATAAATAATAGATTAATAAATATTTAGGTTAAAAATATAGAGTTCATATAAACATACATTTCGAGTAATAAAAGTTAAATATTAAAAGCATAATTTCATATATATTGTTTGTTTGATATGGGGGAAGGAGTCTTAATTAAGGGGGGAACCAAAATGTTGCTGCCATGGGTTGACGGAGTGTTACTTTTGAGGGTCGGGACCTTTGGATCAGTAACGTGATTCTGAACCAAACTATCAGGCAGAGACCTTGCTTGCTGATTTCTCTGCCTAAGCCACCAGCAATGTTATAAGGAAATTCGATAAAGTGCATAGTGCGTTAACGGACTGAAGATTCTAATTTCCTCTCAAGGGAAAGCGTTAAAATGTAACGCAAAGAATTTCTGTTGAGTCATATATTGTATAGTCACGTTTTGCCTTTGATGGGAAAAAATTAATTTTGTTTACTTTTCTGTCTGTATGTTTTAACGGTTTTCACGGCACACTATCATGCTTCTTGTGTGATTAAAGTCAGTAATTAAAAGAATGACTTCGTTTCGTAATTTCGACTTTAGAGGGAATTACACTAGTCCAAGGACCATTGGTTATTTTCCTCACTGACACTGTGCTGGCCCAAACATACAGCATCACTGAACACATTCTTTCTTTGGCCAGGGTCACTGAATATAGTCACTAGAATCTATGGGAAAAACTCTTTATTTAAAAGCCTCCAAATGTTGAAAATTACAGTAAGGTTTGCAGGACAGGGCCTTCATCAGCCTGTGCAATGGTTGTGGCACAAAATTTCATCAAAATGAAATATTTTTATCAAAAACTAATTTGATTATTGTCACTGTATTTCATTTAATCCCTACCTGCTCCACCATAACCTGACTATGATAAAAGCAGAAGAAACAAGACAGAAAAATTGGTATTTGTACACAGGGGGCACTGTGATTGTGAAATACGAGCTCCATGCAGGGACGGACTGGCAGTTTGTCTTTTCTTTAACGGGCAGAACAGCTGCTCAGTCCAGGGATGTGGACATGCCACCATCCTTACACTGAAATAAAAACAACAACAACCAAATAACCCTGCAGCAGGAGAACAGGGCTGATTTCAGAGCAGAGGTGGAGCCTGGTGCATCTTCGATCACAAGAGCAGAAAGAAACGGATCAATCCAGACCAAAGATCGAGATTAAACCTTAATACTGACTCAGAGCAGGAAAAATGGAAGTTACAGCTCAATCAATATTTATCACATGTTTTGGAAATCTCTCATCATCAATAAAATTGTCAAATGTGTTTTTAGGATCTGACCATTTGACAAAGATTCAACAAAATCTATTTATTCAGTTTTTCAAAATTATCTGAGTTTAAAAATGTAGGTTTATTGGATGATGATCAGAGGCTAAACACAAACTCAACTTTTCATTTATTTTTTAACTTTATGTCTATCCAAGTCAATGCAAGTCAATGATTTGCTGTTTTTTATATTTTAAAATACATTTTATAATAAAATGAAAGCCTATAATATATTTTATGTGTAGGTCTATATTAATTTTGTTTAACATGTGATAGTTCTGCATCTGAAATATAAACCTTTCTGAAGGTCAGATGCTGAGTCAGCACTTTACCCAAACCATCATCACAGTAACACACCAGTGACTTAATAAATCTGTCTGCATTTCTTAATACATCTGCATTTTCATTTTTTTTTTTTTGGAACAGTGTCCTGTCTGGCAACGTGGCAATAAGAATAATTGTCTTGATGCCAAAAAGAGCCCAACAGATTTTACTTTCACAAGTGTAGCAGTATGGCAATTGCCATATTGCTCCACTTGTTTCATGCATATAAATTGCTTTATTTTTATTTATTTATTTATTTATTTATTTATTTATTTATTTATTTATTTATTTATTTATTTATTTAT